GAGCCTCTCTCGTTATTCCTTATCTTTGTTCGCTTTTCTTTTCTTTTTTTAATGAATGAATCCCTATCAAAAAGAAGCATGAAAAAGGAATATTGCGATGAGAAGAAAAGGCAGCAAAGAATATTAACCGAACCGATATGATTTGATACGAATATAATGTGTGATGGCATATAAAGTATGGCTTTGTAACAGTGGAGAAGTGAACTGAAATGTGTACGTGAGATTAATCAAGTAGTAATCAAAAAAAGTTAAACATACTTCTTTTTTTTTTGTACTGGATTTCTAGCTTTCCATGTAAAATAATGTTTAAAAAATCACAATAAAAGTCAGTTATTATTTTTTTTTATTAAAAATCTATTATAACGACACCATTTAAATCTGATGAAAAGTTTGATTTTTAGACTTAAATTTATGATTTTCTCTGATTTGAATTTTCTTAGAAGTCTGTCTCATCGATTACTGCAATTGAATTTATTTCATTCGATTTCAGAACTTGCGTGAAAACCTTCAAGTCAGAGGAGGATGTGAGTTCAGATGGGTGTGGGTGTAAATAAGAAGAGGGCCCACATCTATGCTTACACCCACGAAAAGTCACATATTTTTCCTTTTATTTGCACACAATGACGCGTTTGACCATTGCTATAATATTTACTCTCTGCGTGACCTATTCTTGTTGGTTTTCGGCTTTAAAAGGGCGAGTAAAAAGCCTTGCTTTTGTTGGATGTGGGTGATAATGCGCGGAAGGATGTGTAGATGTGCATAGTGGTATCCGTGTGATGAAGAATCATCTTTTTTATCAACACTCACAACGACACTCATTCCCACACCACACATCCATACCCACTCACGACTTGAGTCTGGTCCCGTACGTGCAAGAGCTTTACGCTGGCCACGATTCCACCATGGTCATTCCTAGTCGTGTATGTGGGCACAAAATCGAAATAAAGGAAAAGATTTATCTTAATTGCAATGCGATTTTATTAAGTAGAAAAACGTTGAACACGATGCTTATCACAATCGGCGACATAGAAAGTGCCTTGACGATCGAAAGACAAGCCCTCGGTTTAGACAACTGAGCATCTTCACCAACAATGACAGTGAATTGTTTTGCTCCTTGAGGTCAATGGATTGTCATCAATGCCAACGTATTTATTGCATTTGGAAAATATTCAAATATTAGCGTTGATACATGAGTTAATAAAATAGAAAGACAACTTTAGGGTATATGAAAATAGGTACTTCTTCATCTGTCTCATTATGCTATGGTACAAACTAATATTTTGATTTTCTTCTCTTGAAAAACTCATTTTGATGAAGAGTAGAATCTTTCGGTAGATCATAATCTGTTAGATGAAGAAAAATTTTATATAAAATATAATTAATAGATTAATGGTATCTTAAACAAACAAGAACATATGTCTTCATGATGTATCAAAAAGAAATAGAATAATTTAATAAACTATGAAGTGCAAATAATTTAAATATTTTTAAATTTAAATCACTGATAATTTAATTTATTCATAATATTAATTGAAAGTAAACATAAATTATATGCCATCGTTAAATTACATGATACTGCATATGAGTGTAAAAAATGAAATTAGTACGATTGTATATCGATGGAAATTTAGTATCTAGTACATTTACTTTTTTCTGCTAGGATGACCCCAATCAATAATAGTACTATGGGATAGAAAAATTCAATTCTACATCCAATAGAACCAATTAAAAAAAAACAGTGCAGATTTGAGAGTGAATATCAGCAAAAAATATTCAAAGCCACTATTACATTTTCCTTGTATGGACAAGATTTTTTACTTTCCCAGGGTATGATTATTATCTGGTGTTGACGATAATTGATTTTACTGTTAGTAACAGTTGAAAATTGAAATTTTGATAATTAATTCTTCGGAACATCATACAATGCTTCTTTTGACATTGGCTAAAAACAATCAGTTTTCCTTCTTTTGTCATCTAAATTTTTCAATGAAGAAAATTGTCAAATATAGTGTCAATGTAAATGAGTATATGTGCACATCCGAGAGTGCTATGGAATTCTTATAAACCATGGAGTTTTGCTTTTAGTATGAACGTTTGTGTTCATTAAGATTGGTTTCTAATCTATTTAAATCTGAACAGACATAGAGTTTACAAATATCAATATCAGTTATATCCAACAATAATCTATTTATTAGTAATCTTGAAGTTTTGTTCTTATAGCAAATGTCAAATTGATTTCAAATTTTCTTATTTTGAACAAATATTCATTCAAAGGCTTTATCTCATTTATGTAACTACATCGAATTATTAACAAAGTAGATGAAATTATGAAGTGTATAGAACAAGAGCATTTGATACATTTCTGCGTTTTATTATTCGAAACAACTACAATACAACAACATTCCATTGATATATATATTAAATTAATTGATTTTATTGTTAATTTCTAAAACGTTACGAAAGTTGAATATTCAAAACATTTGTCAAAAGTCAAAATTTCGATAAATAATTCGATGATTAATTGGTTGTACTGGTCTAAAAGCTGTTCGTACTACATTATTACGAAGTAAATTTAAACTGTGTTCTGAAATTGGTACTATATTAAAAAATACAGACCATACAATGCCTTCAGTACAAGGTGGCGCCGTTAAACTGCCCATGTAACGAAAAAATTTTTGATTTTCAATTTGCATAAGGTGACTTAAGTTGAATGTACAATCATATGTATCACCACTATTTTTCAAAAGAGTTGTAACATCAGCATATTTTTTCCATTCCGTATTTTCGTCGTCAAATCGACCTGATACATCAAGAAAGAATGCAAATACTGTTATTTCTTGATTTTCGAAATTCTTATAAACAAAATGTGCTTCGGCCGGAAATCGATATCCATTAAATTCATGTTCGGAACCGTGTCGATCATTGTTACCCCAATGTAAATGAAAATTGACGAAATGAAACGTACCATTTAAGCCACCACCTGTGACCCATAGATCTGTTTGATTTTTATTATGTTGTTTTTTAGCTAATGTAACAGTAAGCTTCTTACTAGTATTTCTTAATGTAAATAAAAGTCGATCCTTATACTTAGGAGAAAATGTAAATGGTGGATAATGCTGCTTAACAGTTTCGCCAAATTTGATATTGATTGGTGACTGACAAAGACCTTTTGCTGCTGGATATTGTTCGCTCCATTTCGATGGATCATCATAGTCCCAATGCTGATCGAATTCATCAAGGCAAGACATGACGAAAAAAATTCTGAACAGATGTTGACAAGTAAAGAGAGACAATCACGTTACAAATGAAAGAAAAGTTAGATTCTCAAAACTATGAGAGAGTAATGAGAACAAATGAGTCGTTTTCTTTTCTTCTTTTCTCTTCTGCTCCTTTTTTTGAAATTTTGCAACACGCTATAAATATTAGTATGAGAGAGAGAACGCAGTTTTTTCTACTGCGCTTTCACAAATATTAAAATATAGAGAATAGAGGAGATAGATTTTGTTCCATAAATTTCTGGCTACGTATATCGAAAATATTTAAAGTTGCCATGTCTAAGAAGGCTTCTCGCTTTTAAAAATTATTTTTTTAAGGCTTATTAATTTTTTAGTATTTCGGTCCATAATAATATCTAATTTCATTATAAACAATTTTTCACTTCCGTCGGCATCGGAGTTATCCGTTGTCTAATCATGAAATTGTTATTGTACCTGATAAAGATCTTGATTGTTAATGGAAGTCATTTGTATTATGATGGATATTATCAACTACTAACATGTTGTCATCGATAATATCAATTCGATGTTCATTGAAATCATTATTTCTCTGATATTTTCGAGAGTTCATATTCGAATTCCTCTTAATGCATGAAATATCAGAAGGGAATCATCATGTATGCAACAAGGGAAGTGAATGTGTAACGGATACGCATCATTTGACTATATAAATCCTTGTAAAAGACTAGTTAGAAGTATGCACTCTAAATTTTATGCATCAAATAATATCAAACATTGTATACTGATGAATAACACTCTATTGTTTTCAAAATAATACTTGTTGATTTTCATCTATTCGAAGAATAATTCTAGATTAATTTATTTAAAGATGAAAATCAATTGAATTACTTGTTTATAACAGAGATTGCTGGAAAATAATGACGGATGACTTAATTATCCGACAAATATGAATTTGTTTTATATGACTTGTTTTTTCGTTCGACAACATATACGATTAATATACTCTATCAATATATACATTCAATTTTTAAATACTCTAAAAGTCTCTAAATCTATAATAAAAAATGAATATATTAAGAAAGACTAACACAATATGTACCAATACAAAGTGATACAATAAGAATAAAGAGAAAATTGAGAAAATACATGATTGTAGTAATTATGAGATTAATAGAACAATATATTAAAAAATATTACAATTTTGAGAAAATATATATGACAGATAAGCACTTTGATTTGAATTAAGACATATCAATATTGCTAACAGCTTTTAAATTATATGAATATATTAATTTGTATACGAATCATCGAATAAATAAAAGACTTACAAACTGCCATAATAAAATAAATCTACCGTTGAGAAAAATCAGAACAAGTAATCAATCTGATCGGTCAAAAATACGAAAATAAAGTTATTATTCAATAGAAAACTTTAAATATTCATAATTAAAATAAGAAGAAATGTATATTTGGCCCACCGATTATTTTTGTTTATTTAAAAATAACTATTAACAATATACAAAAAAAGAACATATATATCCTAAACAATAAAATCTCTACTACCATAAATATAAATCACGATTAATATATTTAATAGAATAATTATTGAATAAATTTTCTGATTTAATTAAAAGATTTAATTCTCGTAAACATACTTTAGGTATTTGTGAAATACACAAAACGAACAAACGACACGTTTTATTATTAGTTTTCGAAGATAAAAATCGTATAATTTGATTAATTTCCAGTTTTAAGATATTCAATTTATAGAAATACATTTATAATTACTTGAAAATTTTCTAATGTACAGGATTCACGAAGTTCTAAAGTTTGTATTTTATTTGTATTTGATACATATTGAAAAGCTTCATTTTGTTGACTTAAATTTAAATTAGTTTCATTAAAAGATAATAAATCTAATTTTAATGTATGTAAATTAAGTGTAAAACGTATTAAGTTAATAATTTGTTTAAAAGAAAAATGAGAACTTTGAATAACTAATTTCGTCAATTGTTTTAAAGGAAGCATACAATTAAGAATTGTTGATATTGAATCATAAGTTGTATTAAAATAATGTTCAATTGTAAATTCATTAGCATTTGGAAAATAAATTACACTATGATTCGGTAAATATTTACTACATATATAAACATGTTTAACTGAATTAAAATTATTTTCTTGAATATGTAAATAAAGTTGTGAATTGAATTCTGAATAAAATCTATAATATTTTCTTTTATATGGATTTGTTGAATAAATTATTACACTATCTAATTTATTTTGACGATTATGTTGATGTGTAAAAAACCATTGTCGTTGAGTCCAAAACAAAGAATCAAATTCATAAATTAAAAGAAGATATATTAATTGATTATTTTTTATAATACTAGTATGATATATATCAAAAATACGTAAATTTGGCATTGAAATAAAATTAATTCTTCCCATTGATTTGGAACTAAATATGTTAAATCATGTGTTGAAAAAATGTAAAACTTCAACAGAACCAAAGAAACATATGATTAATTTCTTGAATATATTGAAATGTATATTATCAACTTTAATAGAAATATATTTTAAATATTCTAATACAATAGGATCTCGATCAAATTCTGGATCATTAGATCCAACAAGACAATCAATTGATAAATAAAAAAGTTTTAGAAGACAAAGAAATATATCATAAAGTGAATCAATTGAAAAACGATTATTGATAATAAGATATTCAATAGGACTATGTGTAAATTAAGTCAAATAAATCGGTATTGGTTGTTGATCATATTTTGTTTGATATATTATTTTACAATATTTTAATTTCGATATGATGAAAAAGAATACTTGGATTTTGAATATAATCAATAAGACTAAAAATTAATGAATATAATTTTGGTAAATAAATTAAATATTTGAGAATATTATTAAGATATTTTGTATCAATATTATCAAAAATTAATGTTTCAAGTTGAATATAATCATAAATCATTCGATATTTATTTGATTTAATCATATTTTTATGATAAATATCAAAATTTAATTTTGACATTGTTGTGATATTTATTTGAATTGAAAAATTTCTATTAACAACTAAACTTTTATATCGTTGATTAAGATAAAAAAATTCTTTATAAATGTGATAAACATTAAGATATTTGAAATATTTCATAAATAGTTTCATTTGCTAAATTTTCAAAACAAGATCTAAATTAATCAAAATTAAATAATTAAATAAATTTCAAATAACTGACTTGTTTATTATTACTAAAATCAAATAAAAAATAATAATAATTTATTAAATATAGACAAAAAAATAAAATCTCATTGATTTTCCATTTTTGGTTTCTTATTGTCATTATAATCATAAACACTGTCATCTAACTGTCGTTTTATTCGTTTCATATTTGAAATGATAAATGACGATAATACTAATCTCGAATAACGAAAACGAATAGTATATATACATATACATACACATATGTGAAATAACATTCTATCTCTCTCTCTTATCTATAGATGATCATGTCATCTTATTGTGGTGTATCGCATATATGAAAACTTTATCAATATGAAATAGTTTTTCAAAGAAGTATTATTTATTGTTCAGAATAATTTTAGATTTATACACAACATTTCTTTCTATAATATTTATTTGAATTTTGAATATTTTTTTTAGTCTTATATAATTGAAATTTGATTAAATCAATTAAAAAAGATTTTCATAGTTAATAACGAACTTCGTAATTTTATTTGATCGTCATTTTAACAAACGAATTTTTCTCTAAACTAGATCAATTGCATTATTTACTAAACAAAAAAGATTTGAACTAATTGAATAAAAAGCATCAGAAAGGATTAAACTCTGAATCAATAAAAAAAAATTAATACAAAATCATTTGATTTTCTTAAGTCTGACCATGTTGAAGAAGAACAATTGTCGTTTAACAAAAAACTCATTAAAATACATAATGATAAACTCCAATCGATTGGAAATCTTAGTGTGAAATATAGTAAAGGAATATTTTCATTTCTAAAGATTAAATCAAGGTCAAATGAAATTCGTAAGGAAAGTTTCAAACGAATTGAAATATTTGATCAAATATGAAGAAGTGATGTTCTTTAAGAATTACTTTTTTCAATAACTAATTGTTTAATTCTTCGAATTTATGGATCTATTAAAAGAATTTTTGTGAAAATAAAATTTCGGATGAAGAAAATATTTTACTAATGTCTCGCTCGTTCAAGAAAAGATCGACTTTTTTTGATTATTTGTTTTCGATTCGATATGTTGTGAATAACATTTCAAAATACTGATCTTCTAAAAGTCAGTTTCAGATCAAATGAAAATCCACGAAAAAGCGAATGAAGAAATTTTGAAAGTATCATCGATGAGAATTTCAATTTGAGGAATATCTTTCTTCTTAATTGAACTATTCGAATGGATAAAAATAAAAAGACGTTAGAATAAAACAAGAGTCAACTTGTCGATATTGTTCTTTTTGAAATACAACGAATACATAAGGGTGTGGGGGTGAATGAGTATGTGTATAAAAGTAATCTGTAAGTACACACACACCCCATATAAAGAAAGAGAATTTGTACATTTTGATCTGAATAAACATTCCCTATATCATAAATCGTTGCAGTCTATCTGGGTACACATCTAGTTTACACACATTTATTCTAGCATTACTCTATACACGATCCATATAGTTTTTCTCTTTTTTGTCATTGAAAAATTAGAAAGAAAACTTCTTCCATGATGACATAATTAGTTTTTGACCTTTGTTGACTAGTTTATTTATGAAATTATTCTTAATAATGACATATACACTAGATAAATCAAAGAAGAAAAAGCGTATTTGTATCTTTATTGTATTGACTATTCTCTTTATCATGGCTATATACTTTCTTTTATGTGCCGAATAAAGTCGAGAACGAGTCTTCTTTGTCAGCCATCTGCTTTTCGTCATCGACTTTGTTATTTGTTTTGAGAACGAATAAAATATATTACAAAAATGACGAGACCCACAATTGTAAAGTATCGTTAAGTAAACCCATATGGTACCATTATTATTATTATCATTAACTTTGGAAGTCGGATGTGAAATTTTGCGATTTCTCTATTTTGCTTGTCAATTTTATTTTTCATTTCAGAGTCAGTATTTAAATGTAGAATTGATAAAAAAATATTTGGTTGTAAGAAGCACAAAGGCTGCAGGTTAGTAACACGTTATCAATAGACAATTGTCAGTTTTATTAATTTTTCTAAGTAGCACAATTCCATAATTTTGCATTGTCTCAAAACAAGAACTGAAGAACATTAGATCGCTTGATCTTTCTCGTCTTAATTTAGAGAGCTCGCTAATCTTAATCTTGTTCTCAAACGAAATCGAATAACTTACTGTTGTTTACTTGCCTTTTCTTCCTCTTAGTTATCTAAATGATTCCAAGCACATTTTCACTAACAAATCTAATAACATATCTCATTTTTCGTCGTTCGTTTCTTTAGATAATTGCGATCATTTTATAGCAGCAATGCAATGCTCAGACAAACTCATCGAGGGCTGGACCATATTCCCCTCTCAAAGAGAAATTGTTCCACTTCAAGCAGAAATGCTGAAACCACAAAAAGTCCGAAAGAAACGCTATTACAAAAACACACCACCTTCATTCAACTACATCATTCCGAGAGAAAAACAACAATAATAAACAGAACCATTCCATCCCTATCTCCGTTCACAAGCAGAAGTCTAAAAGAGTCAGAGAGAAATGGATTATTTTATTTTTTTTTCTTAAAGGATGTTTCAATTAGAAATGGATTTTTTCTATTGGAAATCATTATTTTTCTTAGAGAAATGCTTCATCCATATCTTCATCCACAAGCAGAAGTCTAAAAGAGTCAGAGAGAAATGGATTATTTTTTTTTTTCTTAAAGGATGTTTCAATTAGAAATGGATTTTTTCTACTGGAAATCATTATTTTTCTTAGAGAAATGCTTCATTCATATCTTCATCCACAAGCAGAAGTCTAAAAGAGTCAGAGAGAAATGGATTATTTTATTTTTTTTTCTTAAAGGATGTTTCTATTGGAAATGGTTTTTTTCTATTGGAAATCGTTGTTTTTCTTAGAGAAATGCTTCATTCATATCTTCATCCACAAGCGGAAGTCTAAAAGAGTCAGAGAGAAATGGATTATTTTATTTTTTTTCTTAAAGGATGTTTCTATTAGAAATGGATTTTTTCTACTGGAAATCGTTATTTTTCTGAGAGAAGTGCTTCGAGTAGACATGGAAAATATCGAAAGAGATATGAATAAATGTTTTTTTATTTTAAGAACATCTTCTAGCAGATATCAATTTTTTCTAAGAGAAATGATTAATTGGGAAAAGCACATTTGTGGTTCTATTTTTAGCATGCAAACCACTTTGAGATTGTTGGGAAATCGTTCGATTGCATGCATAGTGTTCGGTGAAATTTTCGATCTTTCAAACACAATTGCATCACAATAAAAAATATAATTGTGTAGAAAAAGTTTGATGAAGGGGAAACTCAAACTTATTGTTTCGGTTTGTATTGACGATGATAATCGGAAAGCTACGTGTTAACTTACACACAGTAAGTGAACAGAGTTAAGGAATCGTTATCATTCGAACGTAGATACGATAAATAATGTCCTCCTCGAGTATCCAAATGAAAATTAACAACAAAACAAAGTTCTTTTACTTGAATTTAAACATGGAACTTGTGCTAGAAAAATGCGCTAGCATGATACTTCTTCCACGGCATCGATTACTTTGTGGACAAAGCGATACGGTTTAACCATATCGCTTTGGAATTGGAACCATTTCCCTGTGAAAGAAAAACCATTTTCCTCTAAATTCAAGTATACGTGCAATATCTTATAGTAGGTTATATATATATATGTATACATATATATTGTTTTTTTTTCGTTTTTTTTTCTGTCTTTCCATTTCTCCTTGATATACATGACTTTATGTGGGGTGAAGCATTTCCCTATAAAGTGGAACAACTTCCCCCATCGACTGGTCCAATGGTCCACTACTGAGCTCATCTGCTCTTTTCTTCTTTCAGATATTGAAAGTATTCTGTCAAACTTTATGAGTCAAACTCGAATAAATTGGTTGAGTTTTATTTTATTTTTGATCATTTAGTTATTTGAACAATGAATACCCTGTAACGACAGTGTTATATCCTTTCTTTCTCATTATTTTCCTTCCTGTTATCCGTATTTTCTTCCTCTATTCTATTTGTGTTTTCCTCTCTTCTGGTTGCATAAATAAACGTGTACTCTGTATATAAATAATGCGATTCTTAATCAGAAGAAACATAACAAAACGTAATTTCATCAGCGCTAATACTTCTTCTAAACAATAATCGTCACATAGGCATTTCGTCAAAACAGCGAACAATTGATAACATTATTCTTTTTTACGATTAACTATATCCTTTCCTTCATTACTTTTTCTGAGAGAAATTGAGTAAGCTAGTAATTGCCTTCGTCTTTTATCAGTTTTTTCAGTTGTCTTGAAACATCTAGTATATTGGATAAGTGAGATACATTTGGAAAATTAACTTCACATCAATGGCGTAACAAGGATTTTTCTATGTACTGGATCTCATCTTCAAATCTTGGGACCGAGATGAAACTTATGGAGCATAATATTGAACCCGAATAGTGAGTTTTTATGAAAAAAAATTTGCGATCTAAGGTTACGAATAAAAAAGGTGTAGGTGTGCGGTGGGGGTGTCGAAAAGGGAATATTCACACTCACCCACACCCAGTTTTAAAATGATATGGTTCAGTTAAACTGTGTTTTGCATTACTCCGCTTGAATAAAAATTGAGTTCTATCAAGCTCTCAACCATTCAGAAGTTTTAAGGATTGTTTAGATAACCCCGCCGTAAACGTGGGAAAATTTCTAGTTAGGGGCTTGCTTTTACTACTTTAGACGTCCTCTTCAGATTAGTGGTCATTAAGAATAAGCCCTCGTAATGCGTCATGCGTCTTGCCATATGTACTTCGTACAATGATTAGGGACTGCAGGATCACTTTTTTTTTGGTCTTGGTTCCTGCATCAGTTAGTTTTTTGATGATTCGGGTCTCCTTTAAAATGTTTTCCGGTTCCGACTTCAGTTAAATGTTTTCATTGGTTCTGACTCTGATTTTGTTTCTATATGAACATTTTTTTAATAATCTCTATCATTCTTTGGATACATGAAATTAACATTGATGATTAAGTTAATTTTCAAATAAATCAATTATTATGGTTAGAAAGAATAAGAAAATCAATGAATTCTGATGCATAACAACCGGTAGTACGACTCTTTATTTTTGTTTTTGTAGACAAAAAAAAGTAGAGGAATGGACGGCATGGTAGGAAATAAACGGAAACGAACAAGTAAGCCAATTGAAGATTTGCTTGTAATGAGAGTCACTTAGCCTCATATTTTTAGAGTCGGCCGAAGAAGAATACGACGCAGCAGGTTTACTACAATGCCTGAATGAACAAAAATGTTTATATGAATTACATACACATCTTTTGGGTATGGGTAATGCTGCGTTCTGGGTCCAGAGTATTTTAACTGACCAGAAAAAGTTACCTACTCAGGATAATTTTCTCAACAGCGACCGTTTAAGACTTCAATTAGGACCATTGGTTTGGAATAATGAAAAGCGAACATTTATTTCCCGAGAAGAAACACAAAGGTTTTTCGATCATCTTCGGGAAGACTGTGATTTAAAAGTATTAGAAAGTCATAAATACTCCATTGGATTAATGAATTTGGTATCCATAGAATTTTTTCAAAAGCTGGAACATCGTGGCTTGTCATTTAAGAAAAATTTTTCATACGATATTGTTTTATCATTGAATAATCTTGCTAAAGGACTTGGACTGAAAGAAAAGCAGCCGAGAGATTTGACTCAGGCTATAGTAGAAGAAAAACTAGGTGTCTACACAAGAAGTAATTGGCAAGAAGAGCACTTTTTTAATGATTGGATCATATTTAATGCACGAGAACAAATATTAGAAATTATATATGGTATGCAAGCAAAAGATTTACGTATACTCATTGGTGAAGCAAAGCCGATTAATGAAATAACTGATCCAGCACAACGTGATGCTCGAGCACACATTATAAATGCATTTTCAATGATGAACGCAGATGGTAGTGCGCCACGTTCAGTCGATTTTCATTCGTTTCGTGGTGCATTTACACCAGAGTTTTTTCCACGACGATTTGCTTTGAAAGACTCGATATATTCTCAGCGACTTGATTTATTAGCATTTTTACTACGAAACGCTCTCTACCGTTTTTCAACATGTTCACCACCAATTAAATATTGTGAATTTTCTGTTGGTTGTGGTGATTTAAGTCGTCCTTGGATATTTGATATTTTATTGACATTTTCTAATGCTGAACCAATCAGTGAATTAAAAAAACTAGTTAATAACAATCATTTTCCATGGCTCAAAACAGATGGTTTTGAACGAGCTATTGACTATCGATTTCTGGCAGGATTTAATCGTCGAATATCACGAGTCAGTCATGGTTATTCAGTTGACGAAGCCGTTGCATTTTTATTTGAAGTACCGCATAATGCGATTCATGTTATGCAAAGAGAATTCTATAGAAGTCACAATAAGAGACCAAGTATTATATTCAGTGAGCAGGTAAAACAACTTCAGAAAATGGAGAAGGAGGCCAGAGCAAATGGGAAAGTTTTCTTTCATTGGGTTGTAGGACTAGATTTGTTTGGAGATGAACTTGGATATCCTTATTGTCCTTTTGTTGCTGATGAATTTCTACAGTTTCTTAAATATGCTATAGAAGAAAATATTAGTTTTGGTATACGCATCCATTGTGCAGAAAATGTACCTTTCGTTCGTCCTGAATTACCTGGTTATCGTCTATTCGCAGCGCATATGTACATTGTTTACCGTTGTCTTGATTTCCTCAAACGAAAACTACAGTCTAATATTCGTGTGGGTCATGGGATTGCTTTTGACAAGTTACTGTCTATCAAAAATTATAAATTTCGAAAATCTAGTGTTCTGGTCGCTGAAATGCAAAAAAATGCTAAATCATTATTGTCATGTATTCCTTTCGAAGTGAATATAACTAGTAACTTTTACCTTCTTGGTGATGCTATTAGAAACGTAGAAAACGAAAAGCCTTTATCTCACTTGTACAAAATTAAGGTTCCAATCGTTCTATCTACTGATGATGACGGAATATGGCCTATTGACAAATGTCCATTAGAACATCAGGAACATCATTCTTTAGCAGCAGAATATTGTCGTGCAATTACCACTCGTTTTATAACGAAAAATCATTTGAAAAATATGATTAAAAATTCAAAGCGTTTCTGCTTTACATACGGAAAAGCTTTACCAAAAGAGAAATCTCAGAAAACAATCACAGTTCGAGACATCAATGAAGGCGATTATTTTCCCACGGATATCATTGTACATCCAGATGTTTTACGAATGCTTCTTGCTAGGATACCACGTAGCGATATAGATTTATATCCTTGCTTGAAATATTATCAAACATTGTACAAATTAAAAATACCTCCTTCTAAAAGTCGAGATTTTGATGACGATGAAAGTCGAGATTCTGATGACGATTGGAAAAAGCAGTGTCAACTTATAGGACCTGTAATAATAGCATGTTACTATGTAACTCGTTCATTGCCTTACAAACAATTTAAGACCGAGTATGACAAATTGTTTAAGGATCAGCGATCTGAGTTGGTACATAATGCATGTGAAAATGTATATTTGCAACTAATGAACGATACTCCTGGTCAAGGTGCACGCATGCAAGTAACGAAAGACAATGAAAGTTTTTTATTTTGTTCTGAAGTACCAAATAATCGTAAAGGTGTTCCAAATTTCTTGCTGAGCACTATAAGAGAGTTTATTACAAAGAACACTTCGAAAGCTACAATATTCAGCTTTCTTCCGAATATTGATGTAAATAATTCAAAAGTAATATCGGACCTTCAAAATATTGATAAAAGTATAACAAATAGAAAGATCGAAATTTTTATTCATACGAACACTGAAAAAGATATAACTATTCCTCGCATGACAAGTGGAAAGCTACTTATTAATAATAAACCTAATCAACGCACGGGTCCAGCACAAGAACAAATTCAATGTGCACTCTATGCTGTTTGTCCACATGGAAGTGTAGCAACTGCCGCCTTGCATTTTATTGCACAACACAGCGACAATAAGAGTTTAGTTTTCGAGCGACAACATGTAAATCTTTGCTTACTTGTAATTCCTTTCTTACCATTGCACTTTGGATATCCAAACATCCAAAAAAATGCTAGCGAAGGCGATCGTTTAAAAAGCTTTCTAGAATGTTACAGTATAAGTGACACACAGTTAGCAAAAAAAATTCAGATTAAATACAAATCAATACTCAGAGCATTATATCAACCGAAATATAGTTTACTTTGTGCCGACGTTAGATATGCTGAACAGATCGAGACAAAAAATTTAATAGAGAAAATATATAGAGACGAAACTCTATTTGTTAAAATACTAAAAATCTTGTGTGAATCGATCAGAAACTTCAATTTGTGGCCTAGGTCTTTTGTTATATTAGAAAATATCCATGAATATGAATCGTATGCTGAAAAATTCAATAGCTCCGATACTATCCCAGTTCCTATCATTCCACTTGAAAATCAGTTTTTGATTTGCAGTAGTATAGATTTTTTCGAAAAAGAATCGCAAACATCAGCAAAACTCCTTTGGTCATTAGCTGTAGGTTGGAATCCGCCATTAACCTCTGGAAATAATCCATATGAATATCCTTACAGTAAATGGGTTAAATCAATCGTTAAGATTAATAGGCAGACTCTTAATGACCAATTTCGGGAGAACACTTGGGAAAGATTTTTAACAATTGTTCTATTTGATGCAGCTAAGCGAGCTTGGTTCTGGTATACAGTTAGCTGTTGGTGCGATGTGATCGAAAAGGCATTCAGTGAAAAAGACAACTTAAAACCCTTTGTGAAATACCTACAAGAAAAAGAAAAAGACAAGGATTTCATAAACCTATTAGATAATAAAAGTCGTCATAAACTTGGAAATAAATGGCAACAAGAGATGATAAGAAAACATAAAGCAAGTACGTACCTAGAAAAAATTCGTAAGTTACTTGATGATACTTCTTAAAATTGTAACTTATTATAATCAATAATTTGATTAGTAAAACTAGAACTCATAAATTTTTCAGTTTTTGTAGTGGAAGACGTATGATAAGATTTTAGTTTAATGAACCCCAGAAAACTTCTTCCAATGTAAATATATATAGCTTGATGTAGCAGACACTTTTTAGTTAATCAACATCTATAGAGCTCGTTTTTTCTTTTCATGCGATTCAAATCTATTTACTAAAATTCATCGCAGTACTATCCCATTGTTGTCTTGACCGTCTGTATTTTTTTAAATATTTATGCTAATTATTTTACTGTAGCGTTTTGTTTTGAATGTATAACCTAAAACAAAAGTTGTTTGCTTCAATAGATGTAGCTTTTTTGCTGCTAATGTTTTCATACCTTGCTATTGACTGTTTGCGTCCTCCTTTATGTTTTTCTGATTTTTCGAGAATTTTCTTCTTCTCATTGCTTTATTATTGTATATTCTCAATTCTCTAATTCTATCAATAAATGCATTCATTATGTTTATGTTGAGTGTTCTCCAATTGTTGTTCAATAGATTACAAAAACATAAAATACTTCGAGTGTGTGGATGTGGGTTTGGGTGAGTGTCGAATGTGAGCGTGGGTAAAGAGATTGCAATAAACTCACACCCACATCCATAATTTACCATGTATTACTGGTTGAACCAGATCTGATCTAGTATAATGCTTCATACAACATGGTCTTATTGAATAAAAAAATAATTTGGCATAATCAATGGCCTGGTCAGGACATAGAAAATATAACACTATTGATAACAACAAATATGACATAAGCATATCTTCATGAATATTTGTTAAATCAAAATAGATCAGGCATTATTCGAAAAGCATATGATGAGATATAAAATGAAGACTCTTAAACTACCATCTCCGCCAATATATGCATCGGCTTACATCCCTGCTTTCGACAGTTTTGGTGAAATACAGAAAGTTTGATACACCGATTGGCAGTATATATCATCAAGGTTTAAAGTTTTCATCATCCGAGTCGACACACCTTATAGTAGTTATTTTAATAATCTTACCTGACCTTTCAGACTGTCTCATATTGACAACGCCGACAGATGAACATCTTAAAGTTTCTCTTAATTTTCAATGGGTAACAGTTTCTTGCAATAATTCAAAAAAAACATGGAAAATCTCATTCGTGTAGACGAAAGCATAACTAACTTTGACTAATTTAAGAAAAAGTATTCAATATAACTAATGGTATACACACTGTTAGTCAATATTTATGAAAAATGCGAAGAAATAGGTATATTAATCTTAAAAAAAATCATCTTTTCAAAATCTAACATATTCATCTTCGCTGTCCAACTCATCTGTTATTTCAAATAAAGACTACTTAAACAGCATATTGTCATTTCATGTTTATTTTATTATTATTTAAACAAAAACAAACACATATATACAGCGTACGATGCAAAAGTAATGGCACAAAATGTTGATCCCTATTTATCCTCGATAGAAGGGAGCTGAAAGAAAATTTTTTTTACTCAAAGATAGCGCGTTTCCTCCTCTTTCGAATCGTATATATATATTTTTATAACACTTTGATACATGAAACGAAGTAATAGAAAAGAGAGATATCCTCTAAATAAATCCGCACTTTTCTATAAGCAAACGGTACAAAATGTCGATCCTTATATCTGTTTCATGGGTACGTTCTAAAAAGAAAACTTTCTAATCAACAGATAGGAAATTTTCTCCTCTTTAGAACGGTGTATGATTTATATTTGTCGCACGTTCGTAAATCAAATTAGTCGAAGAAGAAAGAGACAGTCTCGCGCAATACGTTCCCTAGAGAAAGTACTGAGTTCAGGGTACCCATGTACTGAGAAAGCTCTAGCAGGGTACCCAATATGGGTACTTTGAAAATTCTTAGTAATTTTACTGATGTATGTACTGTTTGGGGTACCCGTAAAAGTACATTCACTGAATAAGTACCTGCATGGATACACAAGTCTGTAACTTTACTGAGGAAATCTCGACAGGGTATCCTAAATTTTTCGCGTTCTGTGTGACGACTATTCATTCACCGTTTTCTTTTGTATGTACGGCTCTATATAAACAACTCGATAAATCATAAGAAAATAATCTATTTTCATACTAGTTTTTTCTAAATTATTTCTTGACTATTTCTTAGTCGAGGAAATGCCGAGCTTGGTCGTAAATTAAGATCGGACTACCCTGAAGTGGTCTACGACCAACTCAAGTTGAGTCGGATCCCGACATTGTTCCTGCTAAGTTTTTGGAATTGAAAAAATTAAATTGAATAAAGTAAAAAAAATCTAGTAAATTATCTCAAGAAAAAGAAAAAATTTTAAAAATTCAAAGATCAGGTTCGATCCTGAACATACTGAAAATTTGGTAACAGGGTACTTAGAAATACTATACAATGGTACCCAATTCAGTACTTGATCAGTACCTTTAGGTACCCAATTACTGTGCATTTTCCAGCAGGGTACTTGCCAAAGTACCACTTAGGTACCTGTAAGTACCTGCAAGTACTTTGGTACCCAAAAGTTCCTGTGACATACTGGTATCAGGGTACTTTTTTGGGTACCCTTATCTCAGTATATTCTCTAGGGTTGGCAATTTTTATACTAATTAGTCGAAAACGTTGGTATACGGCAGTTAAGTACAATTAACTGCTGTCTTAGAAACTATTTCTAACGAGTTCATAAAAGTCGACGTAACCACCGTTTGACAAGGGCTTTTTGATGAGTACACGAAAATCAGATTAATTTTTCTTTAATAAGATGTTTTTGACTAATTCATATAAAAACTGAAAATTTATTGCGAGAATCTTTCCCTTTCTTCTTCGGCTACTTTTATTTATGAATATGTGACAAATATAAAACGTACGCCGTTCGAAAGAGGAGAAAGTTTTCTTTTCAAACTGTGTTTATTGAAGAGTCATTCACAAGATATTGGAACCAAGTCTTTCGGTTGTTTTTGTAAATTATACGAAAAGTGCGGATTGGTTTTGAGGGTGTCTCTCTTTTTTATTACTTTGTTTCATGTACAAAGGTGTTATAAAAATATATTATATACGATTCGAAAGATGAGAAAAAGCTCTATCTTTTAGTAAAAAATTTTTCTTTCAGCTTCCTTCTGTCGAGGAGAAATAAGGGTCAACACTTTGTGCCATTCCTTTTGCATCGCACATTACATTGCGGCCTTTTAGTATTACAAAAATGTATCGACAATGCCGATATTTATCACAAGTAAAACTATTTAATATATTTGATACAAATACAATCATGAGATAGCTTTGCATTAGAACAGAAATTATTTGGTTAAAATCATTCGTTCTGTTATATTATTATCGTTCAAGTCTGGTCAATACACTTTGAATGGCTATTGTGCAACGAAAACAAAACTTGGAAAAACAACATAATTTACTGACAGTATCCAATAGTATATGAGATCATTCTTCGATAAATATATTAAAAACAAAAAAAGAATAAGTTCCTTAAGTTTATTTGATATTAATAAATAAAACCTTTTTTTTTCTTTAGAAGGAAGTTAATTAAAATAAACATAGTATATTGTTAATAATGATTGTCGTGATGTTCACACAAGGTATCACATGTGTTTATGTATTTATCTGTAAAACTATCACTGAAATAAAACTCGACGAAAAATGCATAGCTAAATTGAATGGAAAATATAATAATCGAATATCATCTAAATATTAAGACTAACGAAAAGAAAAAAAATGAGATAATTATTGTTTTTTTTATCCATAATCATACATTCATTCTTCTATTCATATTGAATACGGAAGTTCAAGTAAATATGTGACAATATCAATCAGTGGTGTTATTATTATCGATATTGTTATAGCTTCAATTCTATTCACCTTCTTGCACAAAACCCAATACGAAGACCAATAAATAAGAATACTTTTTCTTCTATTCCTATCTTTAAAAAACCATAAAATAATCATGATTGTTATTGAACAGCAGTAAATACATAATTTGAAATTCCTTAAACAAATGAATTAAATAGAACAAAATTCTGTCATCTACAATAGAATACATGAGTATCTATCATTTCACATAAAAATAATAATTTATTTTTACTTGTAGCTTTAATAGCAGTACTTCCTTCGGATAGAACTTACGTCAGTATAGCACGAAATGATAGCAAGCAATTTAATTCATCTTTAGATGCGACATTAGACTACCAAATTTCTTTCTATATTGCTAATCAAAACAATCATTGAATACAAAAAAGAAATTGACAAGTATTCTTAATGAAACAAACATTACAAAATTCATCAGTTGAACACGAAGTTCACTACTAAATAAATTGAAAAAACTCATCAGGAATACGCTAGAGTTAAAACCATCATTGTGAAAGGTACATGAGAGAACAGAATAATAACTGTGTTTTTTGGTCATGAGGTAACGCAAGATAAATATAGATTGATAAGTTAGACATTGTTTCGAAACATCTTACAATACATTTGTTATCATCAAACTAGAAAATTATACTCAGCAGTTTCCTGTAGATATTCCTAGTAGTCTATTTTGGCTATTTTTGATGAATTTATACGAACTCTCTCACAATTGAAAAGAACGAACTAGCGAGTCCGACACTGAAAAATACAGAAGTTGTCAGATAGACATCTATAATAGGACAGATTTTTCTGAGTGATGAGGTTTTTCATAGTGAAAATTGTAGTTTTCATTTTTCGCAGGTTTAATATACAGAAATCAACAGATTGAGAAGAATTGTATTTCTTAAATTGAAGTTTTTTTAACGAAATAATTTCTAACGATGACTGAACAAGGATAATATTAATAAAGAAAATCAAAGTCAAATAGAGAACATTGAATCAGAACAATTGGTATAAATCAAGTTTCTTTGTTGATAGTTTATTACTGTGCAAAAACAAACCACTTCAGACCAAAAGGGGCATTCTCCAGTAGTACCATCAAGACTGAAGAGTCTTTTTCCAATGGAAATAATAATTCTAAATATCTAACATATGACAACTGAGGAGTAAGAGTATCTATTTCTTTTTCATCTATTAAACAATGTTCAATAATTAAATGATGAATTGAAGGTTGTGGAATATTATTTATCGAACTAAACCTGGTCTCTATGCATGAAAATAATAAAATGAATAGAAGAAAAACTCGAAAATATCGGTATCAAATTGATAGAAAACGGTCGTCTACTAATTCAACATATTATTTAGCCTGTAAAAAATTAATCATGTTAATCCGACATTACTGAAGTCTATATATCATCTCTATACCTCTCTCACTTGCTTTTTTCTTTTTTCTCTGACCTTGAAATGCATACGTACATCTTCCTTCACTGTTTTTTTTGCTGCACCTCAGCTAAAATGCGTTCTTTTTTACCTTTCTCTTTTTATTTTTGTTCTTGTCTTCATTTCTTCTGTTTCTGTAGCTACTTTCTTAACTCCTATGCCAGCTGAGTTAACACTTGATATAAAGATATTGGTGATGACGATAAAACTAATTGTATTTATGTTGTTATTCAGTGTTGAAATACCTTAATTTCTCTTTATATTATCATGTAAACACTTACGAGTGTAGCATATTAAAGCATAATAAAGAAAAGCAAAAGGCATGACGTGTCTTTTATCGCACGTGTCAATTGCTTCATGCAAAAACATAACAGAATTGGAAGAAAAGAACAAAAAGAAACAACCATGCTTTATTTGATATTTTGAATGATAACAAAACGCAATACACATATAGAAGTAGAGTATGGTCATGCTGACTAGTATTCTGGTCGCTTTATTTCTCATTTTAATCATTGCTTATGGATGGCATATTCATCAAGCTTATAGCTTCTTCACTCGTCTTGAAATTCCTGGTCCACCACCACGATTTTTTTTCGGTAACTTCTTGGATATTCTCAAAAGCAAACGCTTTTCATTATCGATTCAAGAATGGACTGAGAAGTATGGACGTATATTTGGCTACTTTGAAGGACATACACCTGTTCTTGTCATTGCCGATCCAGACATTTTACAAGATGTATTCATCAAATCGTTCTCTAAATTTCATTCGCGTCGCGATTATTCATTTGATGATCCTAAATCAAAAAACATTCATCTATTTACTGCTACCAATCTTCGTTGGAAAAGACAAAGATTTGTCATAAACCCAACATTTTCATTTTCAAAACTCAAGCAAATGTCCTCATTGATCAATCGAACTGTCGATAGCCTCATGAAAAAATTAGATGAACAACATCGACATGGTGAATCATTTGACATCTTTGGTTTTTTTAAACGTTTTACAATGGACACAATTTGGTCATGTGGTTTCGGTATAGAGGCAGATATGCAAAATAACCCAAACAATCCATATCTTATCCAGTCACAACGAGTACTGAGCAAAGAAAATTGTGTATCGAAACTGTTAATTTTATCTCTTTTCATGCCTGAGCTTAAATGGTTCTGGATGAAATTTCATCAATGTGATTCTACCATTCGATATTGGCTTCAACATTATCTACCTGTCACGCGAAGATTGATCAGTGATGATCCACAAATATGGATTAAAAGACAGGCAGAACAATTGATCAAACAACGTATCAAATTAGGCCGCACAGATCGAATGGATCTGTTGCAATTGATGCTTGAATCAGTTTCGGATGACGATTTCATTGAAGTACGAAGTTTGTTTTATTTCTAATTGAATTCTATCTTTGTCAGAGACCGTCACAGAAAGAAAAGAGATAAACTTGGCCTACTGCCATCATTGTGAAATCTTGATAAAATTGTAGAAGAAAAAGGCTTGAGAATTATTACCAGATTTAGAATGATGTTTTATTTTTGAATTCTAAAGGATCGATCAGCAAAATCAACCACGACTGCGGACACTGATATCGAACCGCCACTCATTCGAAAACTGACAAAATATGAAATCGCATCAAATATCTTTCTCTTTAGTGAGTTATTTTGATGTCTTGTCTGACTTTTTTTCTTTTTATTATTTGTATTTTCAAGTGGTCGCTGGCCATGAAACTGGGAGTACAGCACTTGCTTATATGTCTTATGTTCTTGCGACTCATCCAAGTGAACAACTCAAATTGCAACAACATATCGATGCCTATTTCGATTCAAATAACGAGCATAGCGTACCGAGCTATGAAGTTGTCTCAGAAATGAACTATTTAGATATGTTCATTCGAGAAAGTCTTCGTATGTATCCAATCTCGCCAAGCATAATCAATCGGCAGAGTACCAAGGAGTTTTACATTAACAATGTGGGCACTATTCCTGTTGGTACTATTATTTCTGCTAATATCTATAGTTTGCATTTTAATTCTGATCTTTGGGGTCCAGTCGATCCGCACACATTCTATCCGGAACGATTTGCCACTAAGCGACATCCACTCGCATGGATTCCATTTGGTGCTGGACCGCGAAACTGTGTTGGAATGCGATTTGCATTGATGGAAATGAAAATAGCACTCATTCGACTGCTTAGAATCTATTCGATTATAGACTGTGGCAAACAGACCCAACAGCCATTCGAAGAACTTGACGAAGTTATGGTTATTTCGCCTACAAAAGTTCTTATACGTTTGCAACGTCGAAACGAACATTTACAATGAATTCTGGTCAATTTACCAGATTATGTTTGCCTGATTAGAACTGCCAAGATCTTTCACTACTTCAGTGGTAGAAATCATCGATCTTGGTTGTTTTTCTTTTGACTAACAATCAGTAATAAAGAAGAACTTCTTGTTGACAGCTTTGTTTTCAAATTATAAAAACCAAAGAGAACAAATTACACTTTTGAGAAAAACGTGCTTGAGATAGTCAGATATATGAAGGGTGTGGGTGTGGATAGAGCAAAGACTAGCATGCACACACGCACTCTCATCCTTACCTTCACCCACACTCTACCCGACCATTGATGATAATTAGATCGATTTAAATATCATGATGGTTATTAACCAAGTTAGTCCTCATACAATTCGATTAAATATTTTGAAATACTGAGAATCGAAAGACATTTCAGGGATATGATTTCCCAGATTTGAATGAAATCTAAAGTCATGTTATGAATCAATATTTAGCATCAGTTTGTTGTGGGTAGCTTGATGATCTATATAGAATCACACCCTTAAGTCTGAAATTCGGAATGAATGATAATTTACTTATGATAAAAGATGTTACAGTATAACGACGACAGAAAAAAGTTTACAAATGATTTTGGATGATTAAATATTGTTATAACTATAAGGTAAAACAGCTGAATAAAATCGTTTAAGAAGCAACTCATAAGCATTGTAATGATTATGAAAAAAATAAATCAATTGAACAAAACTCATCAAGCATAAGTTGTTGCAAACGATGATTTTCTATATGAATAATAGAACTAACCAATACTGCTTTTATTTGAACTTTATTAATTATAGTTAACATTTTTTTCATCTGGTCAGTCAATTAATTCGATAATATTTTCTATAGAGAAACGATTAAAAAAACGAACAATTTTACTACACAATTATATACTTCTATTTTATGAATAGTTCGTTATTTAATCAACATTGAGTAAATATTTATATGGGTACAAATTTCCGTTGAAGAGCATTATATATTTATCAGAACTTTACGAGAGATTTAGTTGATTACATGCTCTATCGATTGTTGAAATCCGTTTCACTAAATCTTACGAGTAAACCAATTTACGAAGTGATTTTTGAGTGTTACTTTTCACTTTTTAGTTCAAACCAGTTTTAGACGAATGCATAATTGTGCTAGTGTTCGTGAAGTAAACTTATTCGGACTTGCTCACAAAAAAACAGTATTTCCAAGACTAAATAGCCCAAGAAACAAGCCAAATGTTCAAGATATTTATGAGTATTAGCAATGGTTGTAAAAAGAAATAGAATAAGTATTGTACTATAATTTCTAGACTCACATCCTAGTAGGACCCTACCTAGTAAATCGTTATTTTATATCATATACCTCTAGTGCAAATTACTGAATAGACTTTACTAAGAAACAACTGTATCCCTATTAAATTCCGAAAACAGTCGATCTTAAAAGAGATCGAAATCGAACCTAAAATAGTTTTCAATACCGTCAACTCTCCTACTCTCAACAAACCAAAAAATCATCAGTTTATTTATCCCTTACATGTGGTAAATAATTAAATGTACGTCAAGGCGATGACACAACTTTTCAATCAGATAAGTAAAATTGTCAGTATCGATTTCAGTCATACTTCTCATTTATGAGTGTAGATGAGAGAAATACAATATAATCTACGAATCATTCGAATAGTATTTGTTCTATTCTTATCTCTCGCAACAAGTAAGCATCACTCATGTAGACACACAAACAGTATCACTGTTGTAAACTTCTTTTTTCATCTCTCGAGAAGGATAGTTGTCATTTGTAGTTGGGTATAAGCTTGCAATATGAATCACTCGCTCAGATCTTTGTTTTACTCTTATTTGTGTATGACTATAACAAACATGAAATGAAAGATTTAAATTGTGCCAAGCAAGTGAAAGAATATACATTGTCATAAAGGAGATGTTGACATGTGTCGCAGGCTACCATCTCGATCTCCTTAAGGAGTTGAAAGTGTCTGTCAAGTGAGAGAGTACATGTGTAGGTGAGCCATTTCTTCTAATATCCATCTGGCTCTTCTCTCTTTATCGTAGGACAAAAGGAGATTTTTTGTATAGTAAGACAATTCATGTCCTCACGTGTCCTGTAGTGAGTGTAATGGCTCATCTTCGATATTGGCACGAAAGTCAAATCGATCATCTCCTGCAAAAAGAAAAAATCAAATGCAGCATCAATGCTGAATGTCGATTTTAATTATATTTTCAAATATTGATAGTAGATGTCTTTTTTTGTAATACAAGATTAGTTTCTAACTTTATGCTGATACATTTATTATAGACTGACCTACATTTAAGAAGAGAACGAAGCTTTAACGTATCAGCTTAATATTTCTTGAGAGAAAATATGCTTCTTTTTTTCAATCATCGTTTCGATAACTAAACAAATTTTCCAAATTCATTTTTAAACACGAAACGGAATCGTTTAGCAGTCACGTCATGTTTTATGAAAACGGGAGAAAATCAGCTTGTCGTATTTTACTGGATATTTATTCAAAGTAAGTAATGGCGTCAATAGAGTTCAAGAGAAGTTTATATACATATCGCTTTAAGCAATAATCACAGGTCAAGTAAATGGAATTATCCGATGCTACAAATGCCACGGAGGGCCAGAATGTGGTACTTCATTCTCATCAAGTTTGTACAACAACGAGCAATATTTCTCTGAACTCGATGATGCTGTCATGAATTCATGCTCAGTGAGTGTTTATAGTTAACGAGAAATTAGCATCTTAGCATTGAACTTTTCATAATATTTTATATCAGATAACAGTGACTCCCGAAGGCACAACAAATCGAGCTTTAGTGCCATCAAATACATGTCGAACTTCAGCATATGAATTCTGTGTTTGTACAATGACCTACCTTCACCTCCGCTACTTGCATTATCTTCTCTGACATGTCTGGTTTCCTTTTGTGCATCGCCATTTACTAATGTTTGTGAGAACGACTCTCATATTGCGTATCGTAGCAGTGCTGAAGAATCTTGTTGGATGAGTTTGCATGTATAATTATTGAAAACGTCAGCTGCCCAAATTGATTGTCAAATATGATACTCTGAAAGCAAAGTGTCATTATTCTTATTTAAAAAAATCGACTATTCATTCCTTACAGACAAGATCCTTGTAAATTACAGCGCATCATTATTCATTTACTTGTAGAAATGAATTTGAGCATTTGCATCGAACCATGTTAGAGTTTTCAACGAGAATGTTTTTCGTGTTCTTTATGTTTCTCAAAAAATTGTCTGTTTAATCAATGAAATATATAAAGGTTGTGGGATGTGGGGTGTAGGTGCGGGTGCGAGTGCGGGTGTGAATGTTGGTGCAGGTGTGAGTGTGGGTGCCGGTGGATGTTGGTATTGGTATTCTTTTCTAACATACTCACGCCCGCATCGACACATACCCGAACCCACACCCACCCAAGTAACGTAATAAAGAAATACATACATAGGATTGAAAAAATATTTCTAATCATCAATTAGATTTGCGCCTCCATACTAAGGTATCATGACAATATTAGATTTCATTTTCTCAGCATAAATTGTTGTCCATATTTTTCCATTACTGATATAGGAAATATAGATTGGCAGTTCAGCATATAGCAATCAGTGTAGTGACTGTCACACTTTAAAAAACTTGCTTGTTGTATTATAAATTCAGGATATGCCATAATTGCCGATGCATGCTGCTAAGTGGTACAGCAACCAAGTGAACATGAAATTATAGAAACTAATAGTACAGTTTCTAGCCTGTGACTGTCGCCAATAGTTAAATCATATTTTTCTGCATTGTTTTTTCATACAACCCGCGTTTCTGAGAAGATCTACAAAATCATATTTCATCAATAAATAACATCTGTGCACCAATACCGTACGTATCGTTCCTATCTTTGTCATATTGTGCTAGTTGTTTCGTTATCTCTTGCTATCACAAGTTACGTAAATACTTATTACTTTTATTGAGTAACAGAGGAATAAGAAACTATTTCATATTTCGCTAACAAGAAACAATAAAACTTTTAATATTATCAAAGTAATACAAAACAAAGCAGATGGTGATACAAAGTAATTGTAATTATTACTAATTATCAAGTTACAGTAGTGCAAAGTCATGGTGATTTGGTACTCCTACTGTCGATATTAAAAACATATCATTCTTAGCCAAAAACTAAAGCGACGTTTTCTTCACCTACTATGCCCTCTTCATTGTGTTTTGTTGCTTTTATTACGTACTTCTTATTTAAATATATCTGTTGTGCGATGAAGACTAAACAAGGACATTTTTTCACGAATATGAACATCTGCGACTTTAATTGTTGAGAACCAAATAGAAAAAGTAAATACTTCAATCATCAGTTCCTACATTCTCATACAAACCAGCAACAGACATTACACTCTTGAGTTTATTCAACATCAATGAATGGTCCTACCACAAATAAAAGATACCTTATTGTTCTTTGAATTTCCTTCTGGTTGAAAAAGCAATAAAGATCTGACATAGTTGTGATCCAAAAAAGAGTAGCCTTGAGAAAGGTTTCTTTTGTAAAATTAAATCCATCAGTCGAATCTATAGATGCTATCAACCATTAAAACTATTTCAAACTCATTTTATTCTTGCATTGGCCTAGAGGCATTCCATCACGTACGGCATTCATGTGTAATGAGTTTTACTTTAAATATCAGCATTCATTCTGAAATATCAGAAAAGCTTTATGCGACAGTGCCATTTATCAAGCACAGTCTATCAGGGAAAAAAACATGGTTTTTCTAAATTTATGTGATTAAAATGTTCAAAAGAATGTCAGATCATAAAAAAATTGTCGTTTCTTTCTTTCTCTTTATTCTCATCTAACCAAAGACAACAAAAGCAGGTCATGATGCAGTGACGGTGAAGTTCGGGTAATTTCTTTTTTAATCAGATGCACCGTTAGTTTTAGACCCCAGAGAAGTGATGAGTGAGCAATTATGA